CCCCTTCCCCCCGGTACCCTGGGCCATCCTGTGTTGCCCAGCGCCGCCACGATTGAAAGGGGTAGTGGGCTTGGCCAGACCACACACCGTCACGCTGGGGCGCCCGCATCACTGCGCAGCTGGCCCTCGTTTGGCGTCCCCTTTGGGCGCGCTGCTCCCCCGGTCTGCGCCATTGGCCCTTGCTCTTGCCACGCCCGTCCATCTTTCGCTGACTTCCCTCTTTCCCTTCCCCTTCGCTTGCGGCTTGCGTGCCTGTTGCGGCACACATTTACCACATGGCACAGCTCATCCCGACGCTCTATCTCCCCGACTCGACGATCGTCTGGAACGGCACGCCCGTCAGTGGCCGCGCGGGCATGGCGCAGCTCTTGGCCGTCATGCCGGGCTCGAAGCATGAACTGCAGGCGTTTGACGCGCACCCGCTCGGCGGCCACGCGCGCAATGGTGAGTGTCTTTTCGCTTGCTGGCGAGGACGAGGGAGAAGGGGGAAAGAGGGCAGAAGAGGAAAGATAAAGGCAGGTGCCAGACGGGAGAGCAGCGGATCGCTAAGGTGGGCAGCAGAGGTGCTTGGCCGTTGTTGCCGGTCAAGGAAGGGGGAGGGGGGGGGGGGGGGGGGGGGCGGGGGGGGGGGGGGGGGGGGGGGGGGGGGGGGGGGGGGGGGGGGGGGGGAGGGGGCACAATCTGTGCGTAACGTGCCCGGAGCACGGGTATTGCCTTTTTTGGCGCAGCCTTCAAGAACCTGCAAGGTTTGGGGGTGCAGAGAGGCACGTAATGGGCCGCCCGGGGGGAGGGCAAGGGCGGGGGGCAAGGGGGAGGTTTGCAGCCCTCGGCCCTCCCTTTTTCGCACGCGCCTTGCAAAACACGTCGCGTGCCTGGCGCTGTGTATGTGTGTGGTGTGTTGTCAGGCGCTGCCCCACAGTGGATTCGGTTCTCTTGCGCCCCCCCCCCCCGGTGCCCATTCTCGCGCCGCGCCGATCCTGGTGACTCTTGCGACGCCAGACCCCTTCTCCCCGCCCCCCTCCCTCCCTCGCGTCTCTGGCTTGCCAGCTCGTCCCTCTCCTTCTCTTGAGAGAGGGCGTCTATGGCTGCGTACAGCTTGGAGACAGATGCGCGCCCCCTTTGGCGCATCGGCCCAGCAGACCTTTTGCTCAAAAGGTTGGCGGGGGACAGATTGACCACGGGCGGCGATCTCGGCTTGCGACTTCCATGACGCTTACGGCTTGCGTGTTGCATCCTGTGGATGCAAGCGCGCCCGAAACGCTCAGGGTAGCCGCATCGAGATCCCTCCCCCGCGCCACTGCAAAGCTGCAAACGTAAAGAAAAAGTCGCACCTCTTGCACTTGACTTGCCGCGCATCCTTGCAGAGACGCAAAGCACCATTCCAAGGGTTCAGCACACGAGAGGTCCACGGTGTGTTTCGAGTAGTTTAGGAGCTCACATTCCCCCCCGGCCACTCTCTTCCCCCTTCTCCCCCCCTTGCAGGAGGCAAGCAAGCGCCCTCGATGCTGCTCACAGTCAACGGCATCGTGACGCACCACACGCCGGGCAGTAGTAGCGTCGTCAGCGGCGCCTCTGCGCCTTCATCCAACGCGCCGCGTTCGGCCAAGGAGGCGCACGCCGAGCAGGTGCCGTATGAAGCGCTGCCGCGTGCATTCAGCCAGAGCTTCGTCCTCATCAGCGACCTGCAGCGCGACGGCGGCATCGCGGCCGTCGAGGCAGACATGCACGCGCGCTACTTTGTGCAGGCGGATCAGTTCCGCTTCGTCGGCTAAGAGTGGGGGAGAGAGAGAGAGAGAGAGAAGGGGGGGGGGGGACGGGGCGCAAGAAGGAAGGCTTGGGCATGGCCGTCGCCAAGAGAGAGAAGGGCACGCGCGTGGTCGCGTGTGCAAACGCGCCGTGCGCTACGCCCCCACAAGTCACGCCGGGAGGGGGGACAATGCAGAAGGGAGGGAGCACGGTTACAACACACATCGATACCAGAACAAATCAGAAACGTATAGCGCGCGGCAAGACAGAACAGGCGGGAACAGAGGCAGGAGAGTGTGAGAGCCCCATCTACGGGCAAGAGGGGGCACGCGTGGAGGGAGAGATGGAAGGGAAGTGGGAAAGAGCAGCGCGGCGGGAAGCCCTTTCGCGCCAGGCGAAGGCCTTGGCCGCCCCGCGTGGAGCCCGAAGAGGGGAACGAGGCCCATCGAACGCAAGCGACGAGCAATCGAGTGGGGGGAAGACCAAGTGCCGCGCGCGCCCATTAGAATGGATGGCCGCGCGCAAACGGAGGGCAGCAGAGCGCGCCCTTGCGCCCTCTCTCCTTTCACTGCGCAAGCACATTCTCCAAGCTGCCCGCCTCCTTCTCGGCCTCCTCGATGCCCTTGCGCAGCTCGGCAATCTCCTGCGGCGGCACCGTGTGGCCGCCGTCGTTGGTCTCGGCCTTGAGACGGTTGATGAGTCTGAGGAGGGGCAGAGAAGCGTTGCATCAGCTAGGCGGGCGCAGGGGGAGAGTGAAGGGGGGGGGGGAGACCGGCTCACCGAATGCCATTGACGGCCGCCTTGAACTTGTGCTTTGCATTGAAGGCCTTCTTCATGTCCGGGAGCAAGTCTCTCTGTTCCTCCTTCTTCTTCTGCACGCCGTGTGCCAGCCACGCATGCTCGAGTGCCTGAGCGGCCGTGAGGCGCGCCTTTGGGTCGATGGTGAGCAGCTGGGCGACAAAGTCGCGCGCCTCGTGCGACACGCCCTCCCAGTACACGGCCGGCTCAAAAGCGTAGTCGGCATTGATGATGGCCTGCATCTCCTCCATCGTCGAGTCGCGATCAAAGGGAGTGTAGCCGCAGAGGAGAAAGTAGGTAATGACGCCAATGGCCCACATGTCGACTGGCTTGCCGTGTCCGCTGCGCCATCGGAGCGTGGAGCGCGCAAATCGTCAGCCTTTACTGTCCAGCAGGCATGAGGGGCAATCAAGGAGGAGTGGGGGAGGGAGGGAGGGGGGCCGGCAAACACGCACGTCTTCTTGAAAATCTCGGGCGCCATGTAGCCGGGCGTGCCGCACGTCGTGCTCAGCACGGTAATCTTCTCGTCGTCGACGACGCGCGAGAGGCCAAAGTCGGCAATGAGCAGGTCTGAATCCTCGCTCTTGTCGCGGAAGAGGAGGTTTTCCGGCTTCAGATCTGGTAGGCGCCAGAAGAGGAGAGTGGGTGGGGAGGGGGGGGCGTCAGCAGAGGGAAAAGAGGGAGGAGGGGAAAGGGAGAAGGGGGCAGGCGATGAGCAGGCACGCCAAACGTACCGCGATGGACAATGCCTTGGTTGTGCAGGTAGACTACCGCCTCGGTGATCGTCTTGACAATGTGTGCTGCGTCCCTGTGCGGAGCCGCCCATCACATCAGCGCCTGGCAAATGTCTGTCCCTCCAGCAAAGCGAGGCGCAAAGCGGAGCGCCCGGGAGGGGGGAGGGGAGAGGGGGGGGAGGGGGGCAAAGGCAGAGTAGAGCAGCGCACAGGGGGACGAGCGAGCGAAGCATGGGGCGATTAGAGGCCCGGGCAGCCGCGCAGAAGCAGCA